CCCATCATGCACCTGTCATGACAGGTTGGCAATGTTGGCCAGGAAACGCTTGGCCCACCACTCCTCGAGATCAATAGGCACAAAATCTGAAAAAGACAGAGACTGGGTGAGTTCTTTGAGATCGTACCATATTTGAATTAAACAGTGCACAAAATGTATGGACTTTTTATTTATTTTTTTCCCATTTGTAGTGTGGAAGCAGCTTTTCTTCAAAGCAGATCCTTTTGTGCTCCGGAAACTAATTCATACAGGTTTGGAATGACATCAGGGTGAGTAAATTACCATTTTTACATTAAATTGAATTTGTGTATCCGAAAGACAGAAGAGGCCTTCAAAATAGGCTGAGAAGAGAGAACAAGTCAGCAAAATAGAGACTATTTAAAAAAAGTAAATAGGACAGAAGTCCTAGACTGACTCTTCATGCCGGGATTGGGGCTTCTCTCCGCGTACTGAACCGGGCCTTTCCCGTTCTCCGGCTGGGATCCCTCTCCAAGCTTATGTTCCACCTCCTGCCAAGCTGCAATCATAAGATATTGTATCAGTATAAAATTACAATTCAGTCTTCCAACAATTAACACCTTAAAAAGGTCTTAAATCAGAGAAGAAATCTTTAATTCATAGTCATAGCATTAAATGTTGCATCGATTGCAAAAAAAAAAATTCCACTGTATTTTGGTCTTGTTTTCCAGTTCAAATATCTAAACATCCTTAAATCAAGATACATTTACTTGAGATGCAAAATGATGATATGAAGCCTTTGTTTTCGAAGAAATGTAACAAAACTACGCGTTTATGCTTAAAACAAGAACAAGCATCTGTCAATGGAGTATGAAACTTTTTTTCCCTTTGAGTTATTCTTATACCATAATTGATTGTTTTGTGAAGTGAATGAAAAAGTAATGGAAATATGTATGAAGTTGTATATCAAACTTTAAAGTGCTGCTAATACAACTCATTAAGATTCCTAGACATGGAACATTTTTACATTTATCTTCATAAAATCTGCAGAAGCTCTTTATATACTGCTCTCGTGTAGATTAAAATGTGCAAGTCATGGTGACGTCTAATTCATTAGTGAATCATTCATTTGATTTGATTCTTTTCAATGCATGTTCATATTGTAGCCAGAACGATTCATTTGTGAACAAGTCTATATCTGAATGTCTTTTAAAATCCTTCATTCAGTGATCAAAAACGAATGGAGAGGAATACAAACCAAACACGTTTTGTCCTAATTTGCATCGTATCCCAACATACTACTTGTGAAAACACTACAAATGCAATGCATCACAACAAAAGGAGAGTTTAGATCTAGAAAAAAAACGATCTTCTTCTCATTGGCAACTCGGTAGAAGTGAATGTGGACACCTTTTACCAATTCTAATTGCTTCCTTTACACTCCCTAAACTGGTTGCGAGATTTTACCAGATCATACAGCTCTTTTCTATTGACTAAAGCAGTTTTGCAAAACACTAAGCCTCAGTTGACTAGTCTGCCATTGTACAAAAGAGCATGAAAACTGCCCTTGAGGGCCATTGCATCAGCTGCTGGAGGTGGAGCCTGGCCTGCAGACAAAAGATAAGAATTGCCCTGTTTCACACAAACTCTGCTGGACTTACCTCATTATAAAGTACATTGACTGGAGTTCAGACTCTTAAAATTCACAACTTTAGTTTGCACATGATTATTAAACTCTTAAAACTTTAATAAAGAATCAAGACTAGCTGCAAACTTGTAACGACTTCAAGTTACTGGAGAGCCTTGAATCCGTTTGGTCGCTCTTCAAAGTCCATTAAGGTCATGGCAACTACTTGCCCCAACCTTAGCCCTCCTCAAGTTCTCAATGGTCAAGGATTCAACATTACTGAACTCACCCTCATAAACAAACCGAACATTTTCCTCGTGTGCGGGGGTGAATCCCTCAGTAGTGTTCTCAGCTTTTGGAGAGGTTGATCTGTGGAACCGCTTTCCGTTCAGCCGGTGAAATACAATCTTAGGCGCTGGTGAACTACAAACAATAGATCAAGACGAGTTTTCAAGAATCAGTCCTGGGATTTTTACATTCGGTCTCCTTCAATTCCTGCTCCTTTTGTTTGTTTGTTTACATTGCATTCATCTCTCATTTGCACACTTTAAATTTAAATAAAGAAATTGTATTCATTTAAAAAAAAAATCACTTTCATTATATGGAAAAAGAGTACATTCTTTAACATAACAATATTAATTCAGATTTTAACGAATTTTTGGTGAACTGTTCCTTTAAGTCCAAATACTAACTTACACAATGTCGTTACTACAGTAACAGCGACACGTTATGAAACGCGTTGTTTATTATATCAGCAAAACAAGCGGTAGAAGTGAATTTAAACCGGTGAAATCTCAAACGCAAAATGACAGACACACGCGACTCTCTCTAGCTTAGAAAGCAGCACGCGGGGCTACACGACGTCCTTGTGGGAATATGAGGGGGGTGTGACAAGCATGTGCTCGCATTATAATAACCCCAAAAGGTTAGTGATTAACCCTTATACCGACATGAAGACGAATACAATCTTCAAACCACGCGTTCTCGGGCTCTACACTTGCAAGGTCACACACACACACACACACACACACGGCGCAAGAAAAAACAAGCGACTTCGGCAAAAGCGTAAAAACGGGACGTCCTGGCTTAGAAATGAGGCCAACTTGTTCGGTACGGATACTTTTAAGTGTGCTAAACTCATACACGAGACGGGCACGCTTTTTAAAGGCGCAGTTAAACCATTTTCCCCTCAGGGACCAAACTCAGGTGTTACATATAAGTGCTATTATTACTCACTCCGATACAAACCAGTGGCTTTGCTTCTGTTTCAGGTCGTTCGCTTTGTTCTCAATCTGTTGCGTAGGGCCTGCAAGAAACAATATCTGTTAATACGTATTTAAAGTAATGTCGACCATATTAAATAGACGCACGTGGTTTAATCTTAAATATCTACTATGATAGCGTTAAAAGAACGCTCAATTAAATAACGCACCGACTAATGTGACCTGCTATGTATGCGTGCTGGTGAAATGATACCTGTTCTCCGTTGTGTAACAAGTTTGCTGGGACCTCTGGTTATTGTGTACATCATGTGAGACGCGGTTTCTGAAGAAGCCCTGCGGCGCGATAGATCCACGCGAGGTCTACGGATCGCTCAGTGCGAAAGTCACGCGATCCCGCTTCAGGACGCAGCCACCGTGGAGACGAGCGGCGACCCTGACCGCAGATCTGCAGCTCAGACTTAAGCGCCTGCGTGTACTTGAGGTCAGTCAAGGGTAAGAGCGTTTATTGGCCTGATTGCGCGTCGGAGTGCCCGGTGCGGAGACACTCTCTGAGCTCTGGTTCGGTCTGGACTCTACTGTCAACTCGGACGCGTTCAGATCGCATTCGCAGCCGCCTTCCGTGACGTCACGGCACGCCCCCCGCGACGTTCAACCGGGGTCACCTTTCACCTACTCACCTTGTGGACACCATCAAACCGGCTCTGTGTACCATGTAAACACGCGTTTCATCATCACCAAACATACAACTGATAAACGCGTATAATAAACGACCGCGCGGGATGATAAAGTCGGGCTGCGCAGATGTGCGCTGCTACGCTACCACGTGGGAACCAGGCGCTCTTGTGTAAAATCTAAACATCGGTTTCTTCATGTCTGCAAACGTACCACTGAACTGATTGAAGTGTAGAGTAACACGAGCGCATTAAAGAGCACGGGTTGCGCATGCGCAAATGTGGGCAGCTACGACGCGGTTCCGTACCACATTAACAGTTTGTTTGGGTCAAACCATACGGTTAATCGCGCTAATCTGCGATGCAGGTACTTTAGTTACACCTTTCACTCTTTAAACCAATAGGACTACATATAACAAGAAAGAAGAGAGGAAACCCCGTCTGAGGCAGTTGTTACATAACCCCTGTTGTACAACAGTCCTTGAAATGCAACTACTGGGACAAAATGGCTGTTAATTAAGAATTGTATCATTTTATTTTAGTATAACCATCAAAGAAAACAAGAACATGCCACTTTTAAATAATCCTGAATTAGTATTTATATTTCCAACGTTTGGTAGCTGCCTGAGGATCAAGATCTGTTGCTCATTTTATAAGTTTATTGACCCCTCTTAAGTTAGGTGTAGCTACAGAAATGTGGTTTTACGTGTAACCTGTTCATTAGCTATCAGTACCAGACTTGGCAAACCCAAATAGCAAGGTATACACAGCTAATTTCATGAAGGAGAGAGAAGCCACACCTTATCCTAAATATTCAGTAGCGCAGCAATTTTTTAACGCTCTGTTTCTGCACAATTTAAGTAGCAGTAAAACAAAAGCTGGTTTACTAAATGAATTCCCCTCTCTGTCCTCAAAAATGTCCTTCTTCAATGAATAATGCCATTAAAATAAATCATGAAATAAGGCTATGTCTACATTAATCCGGATACATTTGAAAATAGTTTATTATAAAATGCTCTACGTCCACACTAGCATTTTACAAAAGTTTCTCATCCACACTGAAACATCGGAAAACGTTACTGCGCATGTGTAAAACCTCATAAAAGCTCACCGAGATGATACAGAGGGAACAGACATAAGTTTATGCAATTTCTCTGACAGGATCATTTTATTTATTAAAAAATTCTCATCATTCACTGATGAAGTTCACGATATAAAACGCAACTGCCCTCATGTTTTGCCACAGGGCAGCAATTGTGAGTAAAATTTCTGTTATCTTTGCAGGACTGTAACATGAAGAGTGTACAAAGTAACATATCTGTAGCAACAGTGTGAAAGTGAATAGCACATAACAGGCACAATACCGGTATAAACATGGATATCTATTGGTACAATATGCGTCACATGACTAAACATGCGTCATCGTTTTCAAATACCTCGTTTTCACAGTCCACACTACAACACGAAAACAGCATTTTCAAATTTATTCACTTTTCAATTTTTGTTTTCAAAAAGCTCCGTTTTACTTGACAAAAACACTGTCTCAGTGTGGATGGAAGGCCAAAACGCAGAGAAAAAGATGCATTTTCAAACTAAAACATTAGTGTGGACAAGGCATAAGTGCTCCAAATTTACCAAGCTGTCCATATGACTCCCTAATTCTAAATATAAACAATAATATGATGCCTGACAGCGCTAACAACCACTGAATTCCCCTCTCTGTCCTCAAAAATGTCCTTCTTCAATGAATAATGCCATTAAAGTGGAAATAAAATAATGATATTACCTGTATAGTCAAATTGGCTCACCTGAGTGGGTGTGTACAGTACATTTGAACATTGATATTTACATCTCCCATATTATAAATTGTACACAATGAAAGCATTTTGTTACCCTGTCAATTTCAAGTCTCTACAGCATGCTTCCTAAATCAGAGCAATTCATTACAGACATACTTTTATAATATTTTGAGTTTAGCAGAACAGTTTAGTTGCTTGAATTGCTAAAGGCCTAACCTAGTTATTGTACAATGTGGCATTTCAGTAGTGAGGTTCACAGTCCTCTACGAGACTGTCGGTGATGTAGTTGATCTTCAGTAGTTGCTGGTAGTACTGCTTCTCTACAGCCGTGTTCACCGTCCAGCCCACCACCTCTACACCGCGGGCTGCCCAGTACTGCACATAGTCCCTAGTGAAAGAACAGTGACCATTTTAAAGAGCAATGCACACTCCTATACTGTAGGTGGCACTGATGACTGACTAGATCAACTTTAAATGTTTCTACACAGATACAGTCACATTCACTTGTATGTATGTACTTGCCTGTTTTGATTTTTGATTTAGATTTTTTTACAAAAAAATGCATTTATTGTATGGAGTACTGCAGGAATGAGTCATAAAACCTAGAAACGAGTTAACATTTTAGCACTTTCATTTCCATTGTCAGTGTTTTTTTAATGAGCTTTTGGTTAAAGGAATCATATGACGTTGCTAAAAAGAACATTTTTGTTGTGTATTTGGTGTAATGCAATGTATTTATGCGGTTTAAGGTAAAAAAAAAAAAAACACATTATTTTCCACATACTGTACATTATTGTTTCTCCTCTATGTCCCGCCTTTCTGAAACACTTGATTTTTACAAAGCTCATCGGTCTGAAAAGCGAGGTGTGCTGTGATTGGCCAGCTATCCAGTGCGTTGTGATTGGCCGAATACCTCAAGCGTGTGATGGAAATGTTACGCCCCTTACCATACTGTGATGCCGTGTCCCGGCGCGATGAGACAAAATGAGTAAAACCCATTATAAACGAGGCATTTGTTGCATCCAGTGGGGACATAATTACTGATTATAATGACTTACTGTATACTGTCTTTTTACGCATTGCGTATTGTGCCACATAAACATAAAACCATGTCTGTTCTAGTCGTGTCCTCTTTTGGAAGGCCAAACAAAGTCGCTTTCACAACGAAACACACAGCGTCTTCACGACATGGCAGCGGCGGCAACAATACTACAGCGAGAATAAAAGTTACGCCTTCTTTCTTTGTGTGAACATTTGGGCGGTGTTATGCAAATCTTCCCACATCGTGATGTAGGTATGTGGGGGCGTGTTAGAACGAGCCGTTTTAGGTAGGTGTGGCTGACTCTTAACTTTTATAAAGAATATCTCTTTGGATTTGAGACTTTAGTCTTTGCAACTTTAAGGATCTTATCTATGCACGAACAGCTTGTAACACTCCAAAGATAAAGGAAAATTTGAAATTGCATCATATGACCCCTTTAAATGCCTGAAATACGGTCTGTGGTGAACACAAACTCAAGGTATTTTCACATTTTTTTCTGACATAAAATACATTAGTAATATACCCCACTTACTTCATTAAGCTTTTACGCATCTTGAAAAAGGCAGTTGCTAACAAGTGGCTAAATTAGACTACAGAGGTTGTCTGGGACATTAAACATCAAAAATCTATATACAAGATGAGTTTTAGTGTATAAATCATGAAATAAGGCTATGTCTACATTAATCCGGATACATTTGAAAATAGTTTATTATAAAATGTTCTACGTCCACACTAGCATTTTACAAAAGTTACTCATCCACACTGAAACATCGGAAAACGTTACTGCGCATGTGTAAAACCTCATAAAAGCTCACCGAGATGATACAGAGGGAACAGACATAAGTTTATGCAATTTCTCTGACAGGATCATTTTATTTATTAAAAAATTCTCATCATTCACTGATGAAGTTCACGATATAAAACGCAACTGCCCTCATGTTTTGCCACAGGGCAGCAATTGTGAGTAAAATTTCTGTTATCTTTGCAGGACTGTAACATGAAGAGTGTACAAAGTAACATATCTGTAGCAACAGTGTGAAAGTGAATAGCACATAACAGGCACAATACCGGTATAAACATGGATATCTATTGGTACAATATGCGTCACATGACTAAACATGCGTCATCGTTTTCAAATACCTCGTTTTCACAGTCCACACTACAACACGAAAACAGCATTTTCAAATTTATTCACTTTTCAATTTTTGTTTTCAAAAAGCTCCGTTTTACTTGACAAAAACACTGTCTCAGTGTGGATGGAAGGCCAAAACGCAGAGAAAAAGATGCATTTTCAAACTAAAACATTAGTGTGGACAAGGCATAAGTGCTCCAAATTTACCAAGCTGTCCATATGACTCCCTAATTCTAAATATAAACAATAATATGATGCCTGACAGCGCTAACAACCACTGAAGTCCCACCTGTAGCATTTCAGAGAGGACTAAGAAAATAAGTGTTAGGGTTGTGCAGCAGTGGTCAAAGATAATGGCCAGTGCTTTAAAATACAACCACACAGTGGTCACATTCAATAATAACTCCCATTTCAGCAGTTACATGCAGTGGTTGCTTTTCTGTAACTGACAGATATGTACAATTTATTTTAGGACCTGCGGTAGGTGTGTTTAAACACCTTACGGTAATGTAATACACACAATGACATGGTTTCACAATAATAATCTAAAAATAGCAATAATGTCATGGTGACTCACGGCGAGATGAAGTTCTTCTGCACCAGGAAGGCGGAGACTCCACACAGGTTCCACAGCAGGTGATGATGAGCCCAGTCCAGGAGCACATCCAACACCTGCATCCAGTGGTGCTTCCACGCGGATGAGAACCGCGGCGTCCCGTCGCCAAACCGACTCAGACTCCACGGCCGATGGGTCAATGCGGTCACCACATTCGGATCCGCCTGTCGCATCTGGAAAAGATCAGCCAATACACTTTTATATTAGTGTAGAAAAAAATATGTATATGTATGTAGAATATATGAATTGTTAAAAATATGAGGAAATTCAGGTCCCATCAAATGCAATCGGACTGGATTATGTTACCCTATAGATGACTTTGGGCTCAAATGAGCAGACGATGCTTGTGTTGTAGAGCACTGGATACTTCTGGAACAATTCTTTCAGCGCTGCAGCCGCCTGTGCACAACAGATACATGAAAGCATTAATATTCTTGTTTCCCAATGCAAGAATCATTAAAGTTCTTGCTAAGCAAGAAACTGTGGATCAAGATTGAGGTGCACACAAACGGGCCCACCAACAATGGACCATTGACAGTTGATGGTACCTCATCTGGATGACCTTTGACATCAAAGTAGATGGTCAACTGGCGCTTGATGCATTCCTCTACTGCCTCCTGCAGCGTTGGAACCTTCTCACCTCGGAAGCGGTCACTGCTCGCAACCAACAAAAACATACCACCTGCAGTCTTTAACTTGGTCTTGATTATTTGTTCTCTATGCATGAAACAAGGCTGTCTTTCTTCCCATCTAACCTGAATCTGTGTTTGGCTGCTGCATCCAGTTTGCGCAGTTCAGAGAAGAGCAGCTTGCTCAGTGGTCCTGATCCGTTTGTGGTTCGGTCCACGGTGTCATCGTGCATCAGTACGGGAACCCCATCAGCCGTGAACTCCAGGTCCAGCTCCACACCCGTGGCTCCATTCACACTCGCCTTTCATTTAGAAATAAGAGTCATTATAAGAGGAAGAAACCAGTGCTTGGTGTGAGATTTACAGACTGTTGAGGAAAACCACAGATAATGCAATGCTTTCACAATGTTTGAGGTTAAAGAACAAGTGATGGTGATTAAAAAAAAGAAAGAAAGGAAAGTAGATATTTATATAATATTCAATGTGCAGTAAAATAATATACATTAAATAATTAAATGGAGCAAATGGAAGTAAGCAAGTAAATAAATAAAACTTTAAAGTTAAGATACACATTTTAAAAAAAACTTCGCCTCATAAATGCAACATAGTTTGTATAGTTTATATAAATGATACATTGTATACTTTGAATATTGTTGGCTTGGTGCTCCTGTATTGCAAGTTGCTTTGGTAAAACATTTTTTAAAAAGCATCTGCCAAACGCATATGTGCACATTTTGTTTTGTAAATAATCTAGATTTGCATGCATATATTTGCATTACAACACTCCTCGGCTTAATGCAATGCTTTCACAATGTTTGAAAGATAAAAGAAATACAAGAAATGAGCTTCTGAGGTTAAAGAACATGTGATGGTGATTTAAAAAAAGAACGAAAGTAAAGTAGACATTTATATGATATTCAATATGCAGTAAAATAATATACATTAAATAATTAAATGGAGCAAATGGAAGTAAGCAAGTAAATAAATAAAACTTTAAAGTTTAGATACACATTTTTAAAAACTGAGACTTTATTGCGCGTGGCCTCATAAATGCAACATATTTTGTATAATTTAAATAAATTATACATTGTATACTTTGAATATTGTTGGCTTGGTGCTCCTGTATTGTAAGTCGCTTTGGCAAATAAAAATAAAAAAGCATCTGCATTTCTGCATAATCTAGATATAATATTTGCATGTATATTTGCATTACAACACTCCTGGCTTTTGGTTCATCACCAGGCGGACATGTTTGAAAGAAACTGTTGTAGAGTGACAATGAAGTGTCAGTTGTAGTGATGACCTGTAGAGGGCAGGCTAAAGCTGTATTGGTATTTGCTTAAAAAGCAGCAGAGAAAATGTCATAAATGTGGAAAACAAGGACACATAATGAAAGTATGTAAATCAAAAACTTCCCTTGGGGAATCCATCTCCCATGGGGGAGGAAGACGTAAAAGAGGAGGACAAAGAATGCATTATGTGAGCAGAGGACCATTGAGGGGGTACTGCAAGGTCCTTCCACATGTGGCAGTTTTCCTTGATGATATCCTGGTAACCGGTCGTAATGATGAAGAGCATCTCCAAACTCTTGCTAGAGTATTGGATAGATTGCCGGAAGCAGGACTGCGGTTGAAAAGGAGTAAATGTTCCTTCACGGAAAAAGAGGTAATGTTCTTCGGTCATAATGAGTGTACTGCTGGTTGATGCATTCTGTTGAGTAAATGCACTCTTCAATAGATCTCATGCCTCAAGTAATTACAGAAACGACTCTCTGTTCAATCAGCCAATGAACCGCTATATTTGATTCGTTAAAAACTCTTTCATTTGAACGAGCTGAACCGATTCATTCATAAGATACGACTCGTTCACGAATCGAACATCGGTCTGTCAGTGTGTGATTCTTGTTGTATCACTTTGTGTTGTCTTTAAAAATGCATATTTATTTATTTCAGCAGACACACAATGCGTTGAAGATTTCCCAGATAGCAACAGAGTCTGGCTTAATTCTGGCACTGTTTTTTTTCTTCTCTCCACAGTCTTGAGCCAAACAGCATTAGGCTGAGCTCTGGCTGGGGTCTGGCCAACCAAAAGAAACACAAAGCAATACTCCAGCCACAGCTCAGCCAAACAGATAGCCATGGCTGGATGGTCCACCAGAAAAAGAAAATATTCAGCTGAGATCTGGGTGGGTTGTGATTACCCGAAGAGTACATCAAAGATCTCTGGCATGAATGTGCTTTAAAAGTAAAACATCTTGTGTAAGATGTGTGTGGTGTTAAACGGTTCATATTTATTATGTCATATCATCATAAAGTTCATTTTGTCAAAAAGAATAAAAACGGAAAATGTCTTTGTTGTAGTTAAATATCCTAGCCTATAGGATATTTATTTAAATAGCAGACACTTTTATCAAAAGCGATTTAAGAACTATGAATACAAGTAATTAATCACGAGGGGGCAGTATTAAAAGTGTTTTTAAAGAAAAGACTTGATCATTCTGTTGACAAGATTATTTTGATGGGCAGTTAAGGCAGACAAGGAGGTTTCAGTGCAGAATGAGAAAAACAAAACGAAATGTTTGCAGAATGATCGAAACAAATGGATCAGTCCGTGCAGCATCATGCAAGACATAAGACTGAATGAGTATTTAGAGTGAGTGGATTGTCTTGATTTCGTTAATCAGAGGAGAGAGGAAAGAATTTCCTTGTAATAATGAATCATTGTTCATGTGTATTTTGTAATGAAAAAATAAAGCAGTCTGGGCCAATGCTTAGTTATATATATATATATATATATTATTGTATATGCTGAACATTTAATATTCATACCATAAAGAAACATTACAAACAGGATATTAACATTTCATGAGAGGAAAAAAGAAAGGAAGAAAGAAAAAAAGGAAGAAAAAATAATAATAACAGAAGGGTATACATCTATAATCTCAATAGAAAGGAGTTTAGTTCTTTGAATGTATCCATAGTTGTGGTTGCGGACGTAGTTTGCGGTGCATCTTGCAAATAGTAGTTGATTTACATCTACGTCGTTAAATCCGCTTTACTAAAAAAGGACTACTTTTCCCAGAGTGCACCTCGTGACACACAACAGAGGATCCGGAAGTTGCGTAGCAGTTAGTCAGCCGCTAATATTTACCAACACAGTCTGGAGGACTTCGACAATCACGCTACAATCATTTAATACTTAAATGTAAGTTTGCATTTTTTAAAATCTCAACTAACTTCACCAATTCTTCTACAGAGCGTTACCTGAGTTGCTTTTTGTTCATGTATAATTCTTTCCTCTCTTCTCTGACTAACGTTAAATATAAAGATGGGTCTACCTTTGTTTAGAAGCTCGTCTCTTAAATTCTCGGTCTTTTGCGGGATTCTGTTATGAAAAGACCAGTTTTAACTGCTTTATTTTTATTAACTAAACAAACTTCCCTTTCAGACTACATAGATGCTCCTGTACAGGAGTTAATAGCTTGAGAGAGGGATTTGTTATTTGTGGTTAGACGTTTTGGTTGAAGGTAACTTCAGTTATATGTGATGTTCCTGCTAGAGCCTTTGTCAAATGCATTAAATCGAATAGTCGCTATTCTGGATGTGAAAAGTGTGTTCAAACAGATGTTTACGCGAACCACCGCATGACTTTCCCTGAGATTCATGCATCTCAAAGGACGGATGAGTCTTTTAAGCAAACTGTGGATGGAGACCACCACTTAGGACATTGACCTCTGGTCGAAACCAATATAGGCATGCTTAGTAGTTTTTCTCATGATTCTATGCATTTGGTGTGCCCTGGTGTGGTACGAAGACTGTTGGATTTGTGGATTTGGCATTTACAGTGTCTTCTTCTTGGGCGTCAAGTAAAAGCTATCTCTGAGAGATTTTGTCCCACTTGAATTTGCCAGAAAACCAAGGAGTCTGGAAGAAAGACTAAAATGGAAAGCAACAGAATTTAGACAGGTTCTACTATATACTAGGCCAGTTGTTCTTAGTGTTTGTCTTGCTGAACAAGTGTATAACAATTTCATGCTTAAGTCTGCTGCAATTTGCATTTTAGCAAATCCGTCATTCTGTCTATCCATGCATGACTTTGCCGATGCATTGCTGCTTGTCTCATTTGTTTAACGTTTCAGTAAGTTGTATGGCCCATAATTTGTGGTGTACACTATGATTTGATTCAGCTCAGCTGAAATTTCAGATTTCACGGTCACTTAGACCTAATATCTGGATTTCCTTTTGAAAATTACTTGCAGAAAGAAAAAAAAAGATCTGGAAGCCAGATCTGAAATGCAAGCTGTGCACGCAGAAAGCAGCAGTGAAGTACAGGGATTGAAAACACGGACAAAATTCATGCACACAGATGGGCCAGTAACACAGATGGCAGTTCAGAGAATTAAAGGGATAGTTCACCCAAAAATGAAAATTAGGACACTTTTTATTATGGATGGACGCATTTTTTTGGGCTTCTATTGGAATATTGAATAACACCCATTCACTGCCATTATAAAGCTTGGAAGATCCAGGATATTTTTAATATAACTCCGATTGCGTAAGGTTCAATGGTAAACAACTTTTTGGATTGTTCTGATTTTTGAATTCTGTCTTTCATAGATAATTATAGTGAAGCACGCCAGAAGCTGCCTCTTGCAGAACAGCAGACCGATCTCCAGTCAGAGGATGAGCCCGACTCCCGGAGGCCACCAAAACGAAAAATAAAGTAAGATTGTGTATATTATGTAATTCTTTAACACAGACCTGTCTAACAGGTCCTTGTTTCGTTGTGCAGTTAAAAAAAAAATAACATGCATTTTTCTTTTGGAACTGCAAAAAGGGAATATTTCACTGAATAATTAACATACCACCCTCACTTCATCAAATTTAGTGATCATTAAATTTATTGCCTTCTCTAAAGACGAAACAGGCGCCTACTGGATGATTATGACAGTGATGAGGAGGCTACCACACCCCTAAAAAACTATTTGCCACAAGCCTCTCAAATACAGCCTTTATCCAAAAGGATTTGCTCATCTTCTAATGAGTTACAACCAAGTCCTCTAGGACAAAGACAAATGCACCCCTCTGTTTGGCAGGACACAACTGTACAGTCTCCCGAACAGGTGGCACAGTTACCGTGGCATCATGAAACACCCAGACCCCAGAGAAAAAGTCTCTCGAGCTATGACCCATTCATAACATGTAAGATTCCTTTCTGTTTTCTAACATTTATTCACTGCTAGTGTAATGCTCATTTCATAGCATGGGTGGTGTGGTAAACCTTGCAATTCCTGTGTTTATTG